AAAATTTGTGTGACTATATTTTGTGGTCAAACCAGGCAGAGAGTCAAGTCAGTATGTTGACACAAACATATTTGAAATGTGTGTATGTGTAGGGGTGGCGGGGAGGGGAAGAGAAGAGCTAGACATCGCTAGATCATCCATCTGTTCAACCATATTTTAAAAATGGTCATTTAATTCTTATAATGGAAGAGATGTTATTCCCATTCAAACAAGCAGATTGATATCATTTACTCGGTGTGAAATTATGCAGACAATAATTCGATACCTGGGAGTGATTAAGGAATTCATCGTCTCAGAGGTTCATAGGCTACAAGAAGAAAACGTCTGAAATTTGAATTGAAATTCCAAACCGGTAATAACTCATTAATTTGGTAAATATATTGCTGAACTGGATGTTAAGCGTAACCTTTTCTGTTAGAGAAATGTGTTGGTATGAGCAATGGTATATACATCCTTGCTCTCTCCACCCACCCCACCCTCCAAAAAATAACCATGACCAATATTGGTCACTTAGACAAAAAAAATCAAGAATGGGAAATAATCTTCTCCCCCGTGAGGGAACCTAAAAACACAGATCGCAATCTCATTGAAATCTTTTATTTTGGTCATCTGACGCACCCGGAAACTCATTACTATTAGAGTACCCAAAACAGAAGAGTTCTACATATGTACGTCACCTACACTTGGAAATGTTGCTGAGTCTGGAAGGGAATGTGCACTCTCTCCCTGGTAGGATGCACCCTGCTTACCTAATTCCGAGCGCATAAGGCATAGGTTGGCAAGAGTGAAGGCTTAGCGACTACCAGTGTCTGCGGTCCGGTAGTCTAGAGTTCAACCAGCTAAAACTGAATGGCTTGCCATTGAGACTACTGTCTGGCAAGCTTCCTGGTACTTGTCCTGCTAGGATCACGCTAACTGTTTAGGACTTTGTTTGGCAGGGTTAACAGGTACTAAATGGGAAGAATCCCTGCCCCCAGTAACCGGGTAAATACATTTTGCCCCCTCAATTCTTGCTGACAAGTCCGGGTCAGGCTGACTGTCCTGTCATTAGCAGTGTCCAGGAGTACTGCAGATTCACCTGGCTCAGGAACCGAACTACCAAAACCATCACAGAGGGTTGACAAAAGCGGCAACTAGTGAATATATTGTGCTGACCAGCTGAAACTTTGCTTGGACATTAGCTTTATGGTAATCAAAATGGAGATAATTAACAAACAATATTAATAATAAACCTATTGTGTATTGGTTAGAGCACTTGTCTCACAACCGAGAGGACCTGGGTTCAATTTTCGTTCAGGGAGAAACCTTAGGCAAGTTTCCTTACCTCTGTTTACCTAGCAGTAATTAGGAACCCGGTTGTTAGTCGATTGGTGTATCACTTTTACGGGGGTAATAATCTCTCAAAAAATAATAATGTGACTCAATCTACGATTATTTGTGGGACACTGCTGTACGCAATTGGCTACTGCATTTCACTCACAAAATATACATTCAATTTTCTTTACAGTATATTTTGTGAAGTGCTTTGAGACATCTCAAAGATATAATAGGACACAATATCAAAATGCAAGGATTATAATTATTATTGCATTTGATGACTATGCCTACCACGTCAAGATATCTAGTGTGAGGCTTGCAAATCAGATTTGAAAATATGTATTTGTGAAAAGCAGTATTCAAAGATATTTGCTCGCATTTCCCAATAGGGAGAGAATGCTCAAAAGTTTGTTTCTCATGCACACAGGGTTCACTTTTGAAAATAAATTACAAAATTGTAAACATTCCTATTCCTTCCTTGAAAATAGAAAGCCCTGGGGAATGGTCAGGAAGTAGGCAGCTCTGCTGGTCTTCAGCTTTTTCGTCATTCCTTGAGAGCAACTGATATACCAATACCCAGTAAACAAACATTCAGTGCTGAGGGGGTTGTAAAACTGTAACTGATTAAACCATTAAACCATTACAGAAATGCCTACATCACAGGCTAGTGCTGGAATGGTATCTTTTAACTTGTGTAATTATCTCTTCAAAAGCTGAGCTACCCATGACTGATTTAATTTGATGCAGCCTTTAAAATGCTTCATACTTCACACACCAGCAAAAGAAAATAGTGCTTGGACTACACACACACATCACACGCAGTATGTGTGGTCTATTGCTTAACATTCTATTGCAATGAACTAGTCTGAATAATTTTAAATAAAATTACTTAGCTAGCATTCTTTAGCATCTGGAGAACCTATGTGCAGGAAGGTAGGTGTGTGTGCGAAGGAGAGAAGGGAAGCTACCCTAACTCACATCCAATGCTGCTGAAACACTTATTCACACCTTTGTGCCCTCCCACTTAGATGTAGCTAACATACTTCTTGCTGGTCTCGCTTGCAGCACCGCCATTCATAAGTTCCAAGAGCTAGCGAGAGAGCAAGAGGGTGCATAGGTTCAAAGAGAACAGTTAAGTGATGCTTCAAGGCGAAAAGGTACCAAACGCTGAATATTTGATTTGTTAACCCATTTAATGTACAGTACTTAAAATACAGTAAATGCTCTTGATATGACTTCCTACTAATTAGTTCAGACTCCATTATCATAGCCCAGAAAATTCAAGCTCCACTCAAACACTTCTCTTAATTCCTTAAGGGAAAGAAATTGGGAATTAGGTGAATACAGAGCTTTGCCCCTCTGTAGCCAGTTCTGTCTAATACTGTGTATTCACTACGAGTTAGTCTCCAGAGACAACTAATATTATAAAATGGCCAGTTTTCTAGGCTCTGCATCTACTAAGACCCTTGTTTTGAGATAAATCTCTAACCACCATCACTCAACCGGTGAAATATTTGATAAGCTATCTGCTGTAGAGCTCAACCAATGGAGGACAACAGCACAGACTGGAGCTATTCACCTCCATCTGGAAGGAATACTTCCCACTCAGCTCCTGGTCACCCCGCAAGACCTTCTTATTTGACCACACTTCCTACCATTTTTTGCTTCTCCTCTAACTCCCAGCTTGGGTGCAAACCTTGGACTGTCCAATGCCTTGGGAGGTCCCCCCAATGTGAAAGGCACTAAATAAATGTAAGCCAAAGCTCTAATAGACAATCTATTTGTACAAACAAGAGGAAGTGCTCCAAGACACTACTCCATGTAGTACATAAGATCAAGTTGTTGTTGAAACTCACCAATGCTTGGAATGGCAAGTTGCGTGGTTTTAGCTATGTCAATTCCAGTAATACCTGAACATTAACTCTTGGGGTACCAAAGCTTTGGTTCTTGCCAATCTTTGCCTGAACTATCATTCCAGGAAGAGAGTGCACATTCCATTCCAGACCAAGGGACATTTCCACCTGTAGGTGGCGTACATATGTGGAGCTTTCAGTCTGGTTTGATGTTCCTAAACATGGGAATAGGTGTCTGCACCATCATCACCATCCTGTGATTACAAAAGAAGTCCTTAGATATCTGTACAGAAACTAACAATTTGATAATTCACTCACTGATATTCATGCTTCAATACAGATAAATGGGAATTCATTTATTATTACGGTCGATGCCCCTTTTATGGGAGGGGGAGAAAGGGGTCAGACATACAAGTCTCTCGTACATGCACCACCCATCCTCTTGATGACCATCACCTATTAACAATTCAGAGGTCTTTGTGGGAGCTGGTGCAAAAACATTATATCTTCGAAACACAACGGAAAAAAGCCAAGCTGAACCACAGCTTACAATATAATGAGGTAGGACTGTGTTTGATATGCTGCATGAAAAGAAATGTCAACAATCCAACCACATGGCAGGTTAAATTATTCAGTTAAACAGTGAACTTTATTTTGGTTCAGCCCAACCAATAACTGAGTTAAATCCAATTACTTCTACAATGCCTTGAGCTAATTGCACAGCTCCATAATGCAGGGCGGCAACATCGACAGACTTGACCTAAGAGACTAAACATGGCAATGGGTGGTTTAAAGTAACATTAGCGATCACAACTATTTCAACCAAGGCTCCAGTAGTTCATAGCAGTTAATGTTGTTAGACATAATATATGACATTAGCTTTACAGCTTCCATATGGGCCAGTAATCTGGTCTGTGGAAAATCACCTTCAAACTTGGGGTAGGTGCAACAAACACCCCAAAAACAATTATACGTTTCTCGTCATGTCCGGCAAGATTTTGCACACTGTGCATGGCAGACTTTTTTTTCAATTACCTATCTTGGAATTAGGATTTATTCAGGGAAAATACACCTGTCTTTGGATTTGAGGTGGTGCTGGGGGTTTAAGTTTTTTTCTAAACAGAGGTAAAGTTGCGATTCTACAACATTGGCGCCTCCTTGCAGTCACTTACACAATTCACCCCCAAGATGAACCTGAACCTGCAAGTTAGAACCTCTGACCCACTCAGCAACAGGTCAGGTTATAAAGCGGGCAACAGCTGGTACTTCCATGCCGTTACTGTTGACATCACCGCACCATGCTGCAAGCAGGAAGCTGGCAAATGTTCTGAGGAGTGCCTGATTTCTCCCCCTCTTCCCCACCCTCCAAGGGGAGCGCACTGTAGTCCATTCAACTCCAGCTATCCATCTACGCAAACCAAACAATGAAAGTGGAATTGCCCGTTTAGCTACATTTTGTTTTGCAGTTTGCACTGTACATTTTGACTCTGTATGTAAAGTTAATCAGGAGAATAAATTGAAACCGTGAATGACTGTCACAACAATAAATCTGTGCCTGAGAGGAAGTGTCCTTGTTCTTCATTAGGACACTGGGAATATATGATCTTCACATCCCCCCGCTCACACACACACACAGCACTGCAGTGTCATGAGTTCAAAGTTCCCATGTGGAGCTTGAACCCACAAACCTGTCTCACAAGTGAAAGTGCCACCAACCAGGTCACGGCTTATCCTCTAAAAGAGATATTGATGCCTTTGTAAAATTGCGGAATCTGGCATTGATCAGCCTCAAGCACCATCAGACATGAAAGCCCTGTGTTCGTCACTTACCCTCTAGGGGGCACTGGTCATCAAGGAACTGCCCTCCTTTCAGTTCTCCATTCAGCAGCTCCTGCAGAAACAAGACAAGGAAGAAATATGAGTCAATAGAAAAGGACCGCAGAACATTTGAGATGAAACAAGGATTGGGCCCCATTAACCAACTGACTGCTGTGGAGAAATGCAAACGGTTTCACCCAAAACATGAGCCTTGGATGAATAGCACAGAGAAAGAAAGGATAGGTTTAGGATGAGCCAGGATTGAGAGGAGAAACCTACTCCCATTTTGCTTTAAATTATATTATGTATAAAAAATGGAATTATTGTATTGATAAGAACAGGCAGGCAATTTCATTAAAATGGTTTATTTCCAGGTTTCAACGCACTGCCTTTACTCGCTGGTTCCTTTCACAACTCATTCAGTTGCCAGGAAAGTGAGAGTCCCTGATTATCATCTCCAGAGCTGCTTGCAATGTCGCTACCTATCACTGTTTATGGTGTTTATAGATATCTCTCCCCCAAACCCCACCCCCCCCCCACACACACACAAACCTATTCAAGCCAAATACAACAATTCTTGTTACATCATGTACCATCCCTAGAAAGGCAAGGTATAACAACTTGATCCACAAAAATGCTCATGGTATCCTGTATAGATCCTTCCATTATGCTGTAGGCAGATGTCAATCAAATACTTAATGAACAAATTCAGGCTTGGGACAATAGCTACTGAAAGGCATTACCAGATTTCTGAACACGTACTCATATATCGATGGCTCAGTACCATATTTGAGTGGTATGCAGAGAGTTACGCAATTGTTGCTCAAACTCCTCAACTCAAACTGGTGGAAACATCGCTCATTGGGAAGGGATGTGTGTCCGAGCTCTGGGTCTCTGTGATCTGGTTCTTCAGCCAGGCTTCACTGTGCTTCAGGGCATTGTTGATGAAAGACCAGCCAACCTGGCTCGTCAGCAGGACATGAAAGAGCAGAACAGTCAGTGGGAGCAGGGATTCTTCCCACTTGGCTTCCATTAACTCTATAAGCAAAGTTCTGCCAGATAGAGTGGTCCTAGCTGGACAAGCAGGACAAGGCTTGCCAGGCAGTACCATAACACACACTCTGGGGTCCTCAGGTCTTGCCTGTCAAATCCTTGGAATTAGAGAACAGGGTGTGTATTTCATTCCAGATGCAATGAAAATTTCCATGTGTAGGTGGGTTCCATTGTGGAACTCTGGTGAGTCTGGTTTAGAAACTCTTAAGCATAGTGATGGCTATGTATCATATACTCAGCTGACCCAAAAAATAGGTAGAGTTGAGATCACCATGACCAGGGAGTAAGGTGTAGTTGCACCACGCAAGAGACAGTGATCATCTGCACTGGATACACACCAGAGCAAATGAGCATGTGCTGGCAGCAGAGATGCCGTTACATTGAGACGCTATGGCAGGAGGAACGTAACAAGCTTGTGCATTTTTACAAGAGCCGGAACACGTGGCATAATTTACTCTCTACGTGTGTTCTTGGGAGTTTCCACCTCCGCAAACCCCAATTTCAAAATCTCTTTCATAAAATTAAGACGACTTTGAAGACGTCGCTCAGTTCAGATATTTTGGACGGTTTTACTTAAGAAATTGCGACTTACTAGCTCCAATCGATTATTCTTGCCTGGGGAACAGCACCATCCAGTGAAATCAGAAACCCCATAATCTCCCTATCCGCCCTTTAATGGGGCTCGCAGTCCCTCAGCAGCGTGGAGGCTCATTTCATTTAATTTCAACTTGAGCAAATTATTAGGGCTCTCTCTTTCCCTTGCCAGGCAGGAGCAGGCGCCTAAGTCTCCTGTCATCCTCTCTTCCTCTGATCGCGCTGGATTGTTGCTGTTGCTGCTATAGGGGAGGGGGTTGGTGGGGGGGGTGCGGAGGAAGTCTCGTGGGCAGAGCAAGGCAAAAGCAACCTCTTCTACCCTCTTCCAAGCAGCTGTCAATAATCAGCAACCCCAGCAGGAGAGATCTGCTAGGAACCTTTGTTTAATAATCCGAATACCAGCTTCCTTCACTTTCATTTCTCTTGGTGCCCACGAGGGAATTTCAATATTATTATTTTTTTTTTGGGGGGGGGGGTTGTGGGTTTTTACAAAAATTTACCAAAAGGCTTCATTTAAAAAGGTTGCCCCGCTATTGCTCCACAAGTGTCCAAAGTGCCCTGCATCTTCTTTCGGATAAATGCACCAGACACACATATACATTTTTGACATGAAAACGCAAGATTAAAAAGTAATTGAAAAAAAGCTTCAGCCTCCAACTTCAAAATATAAAGATAATAATCATTGCATTTGATATAGTGCCTTATTCATGATGCAGAGATGTCTAAAAGCGCTTTACAGAATATATTGTAAAGTGAATTTAAGATGTGTATTTTATGGGCGAAATGAAAAACAAGAGCCCAGTTCAGTCATCGACTGGATTCATTGGTCGATAAATTCTTAGGGACTTGTAAGAGGTTAACAGCAAATCTGAAACAAAAAAGGGTAGAATTTGGCATTTGGGAAAGTTAGGGCTGAGCGCATTCTGGCAATTAGAAAATATGTACGGCTTGTGGAATTCCTGGGAAAGTTGTTCCCTGGACTGGATAACAGCACTGGATAAACCATTAGATGAAAGTAATAGGCGGTAGGACACTTCAAGCTGCACCTGTGGTCGTACCTCATTACTTGTAAAAAAGACCCATGAACACAAGAGCAGCCTGTTGCGGGGACTGAACCCACAACCTCCTAACTCAGAAGCTAGTTTCCAAATGAGGCAGGATAACACCAAGATTCTGTGTAAGGAAGCCTTGATGGCTTTGAAAATAACCTCTGCTGCATGTGTGTATATGTATTAAAATAAACTACACAGACATATAAACTATATGACAGATCCTATGTGCAGCAGCATTGAAGTAAACCTAGAATGGAAACAAATTTGACCACCTTATAATGTTGTAGGGATGTCCTGAACACATTTGTGCTCTTTTTGTTCAAACAAACTACAAAAGTACAACTTAAAGCTCTTTTTCAAAAAGATTGCTTTCTCAAAATTCCTCTCAGGGGAAGAGAGGGAACAGGGGTCAATAGGTGGGGGGGGGGGTTCAGGAGAAAGATAAAGACCGAAGACATTCTCCTTCCTGTTCTGTTGCCTCCTCCTTCTGTGCCCCTCTCCCTATGCCTTCCTCTCTGTTCTTCCCCGCACTCTGATATAACCAGCTCAATGTACATCGATGATCACGAGGTGCAGAGTGTCTGCCATGTGCAAAAACATCACTTTGAATAAAAATAAACAACTTTCATAAAGGTCTAAAATTAAATTTTTTGAAGGAAATGCATAGTTGAACCCTAATACTACATTTTTTATGCTGTTTTTTAAAAAAATGTTTCCATTTTAGGATTGCTATAATGCCAAGCATCTTTGCACTCAACCATTTCCAGCCTTTCAAGTGGCATTGGGTTACACAGGGGCTTTCATCACTAGAAAAAAATAGGCCAGGTGACATCAGCCAGAGCTCCAGAATGGTTCCTAACAGCAGCAAATCTGCCTCTTTTTGGAAAGGAAAAAGAAAAGAGCTAAGAGAAACACTAGAGAGCTTTGTATAAGACTTCCTGTCTCACAGTGCAACACAGAAATACCAGTCTATCAGAAACATGGCCTTTAGCTGCTCATTTCAGTCAGTGGATCCACAAAGACTTTTACCAAAGATTTTCAACAATGAGCAAAAATCTGAGAAGAAAGGGAAGATAGATGCAGTGGATCTAGTGCATGCAGTGGATGCAGTGGAGAGCCCAGAATCTTTGTACACAGTATTACAGAGCTCCATTAAAACTTATTCTGCTTTACTTCGAATATGATCCCAGATCAAGTTTATTTTGGGGGGAAAAGGAAAAGAGAGGAAAGACAAGTTGTGACCTAAGCCCTTTCAATAGGGTAGCTGTACATCTGCCTGGAGCAGCACATGAATGTTTTAAATTTTACGAGTGGCTGTGGTACGGTTTGACAGAATGTAAAGCTAAAGATTTTTTGTGTGGTTAAAACTTAATTTATTTGCTGAAATGTCAGTGGAACATAATGCTAAAGGTTAACTTTTGCCACGGAACATTAATTAAATGCTGACATATTAATGCTTGGGTTGATTAAGAGAAACAATTTGCATGTTAAGCGTGGATTTATTAAAAGGACAAATGCAACTCCTTGTTATCTTCATGCAACTCCTCGCTATCCTCCTTGGGGAGGGGAGGTAGGCGGGGTCTTCTTGGAGCTGAATTGGATCTGAGGTGACATGTTTGGCAAGTTTGAACTGAGTCCACCCTCTGTTACCGTCTCGGTAGTCCAGTTCCTGAGCCAGGTACTCCAGGGCACTGCTGATGACAGCACAGCCAGCCGGGCTCATCAGCAGGATTTGGAAGGGCAGACCAGTTACTGGGGCAGGAACTCTTCCCACTCAGGTGAACAACAACAACTTGCATTTATATAGCGTCCCTCACGCAGGTTAGCATCCCAGAGCGCTTGACAGTGGCTGAGCACGATGCCGAGCTGGGGGAGGAGGTGACCGTAGCCACGGTCGAAGAGGAAGGTTTTCAGGCACCGATCTGAAAATGAGGAAGGAAGGGGCAAGGCGGAAGGATAGAGGAAGAGTATTCCAGAGTTTCGGAACAAAGTGGTTGAAAGCGCGGTCGCCAATGTTGGAACAGAGGGCACGAGGGACATGCAGAAGGCCGGAGCCAGTCGAGCGGAGGCAGCTAGTTGTGGGTTGGGGATAAGCAGGTTGGAATGAAGCCTGGCAAGGACTGGTGTGATGAGGTATGGAGTCTAATGCAGGTGAATATGCGAGTGATGGAGTTCTGAATCAGCTGGTTCGTGTGCATGGTGGAGTTGGGGAGACCAGTGAAGAGGGCATTTGAAAAGTTGAGTCAGGAGATGATGAACACATGAACGAGTGTTTCGGCTGCATCTGGGGACTTGTTAACCCTACAAGCCAAAGCCCTAATGGGTACAATGCTTCCAGCTGGCCACGTAGTGAAAAATCTTGCTAGACAGTACT